TTCCAAACATTAATTCTGGAAATGAATCTCCATCGGAATTCAGATTCTCACAAGAAATGGAATTCATTTCCTAACGGAATTATATCCAAACAGGCTGATAAACACTTATCCAATCAACAAACTTCTTAGGCAAGCCCATGTTAGTCATTACCAAAAGAAGATACTGACAATTGATTGAATAAAATGTTTTCATCAAGTTAACTTTTATTGCACACCGGGAGGAGAGCTTAACCGATTATAACAGCTAATTAACTATTTGGCCATAAGAATATTGTCAACAGTCCTCCTATCCTGAAGATAATCGGGGTTGCTCTAGAGATGTTCAAAATTTATTTGTATGAGTATTTAATGGGATAACTGAAAAATTGGAAGATATAATAACGAGAAAAATATTGAAAATCAAGATATAAAATCTCTCTAATAATGAGCGAAATGATATTTTATATTTATAGATTTAAAATTTCTGAACCTAAAATTCACGATAAAAAACAGGAATAATAACTTCCGGGTGAAACTATGGATTCAATGAACCATGACCGAAATAATTTTCTCCAAATGATCTCTTGGTATAACTAGAGGATTATTGATTATTCTAACATATACATGTTTTCTATTTAAAATTATATATGGTATTAAATTGATAATTGTTCTTTTGTAGCAAAATCATAATCGGGGTGGCTTTAGAGATGTTGGAAATTTATTTGTATGAGTATTTAATGGGATAACTAAAAAAATTGGAAGATATATTAATGAGGAAAATATGAAAAATCAAGATAGAAAATCTCTCTAATAATGAGCGAAATAATATTTTTATATTTTATAGAATTTAAATTTCCGAACCTAAAATTCACGATACAAAAATCAGGAAAAATAAATTTTTGGCTGAAACTATGGATTCAATGAATCCACGACCGAATAATTTTCTCCAAATGATCTCTTGGTATAATTAGAGGATTATTGATTATTCTAACCATATACATGTTTTCTATTTAAAATTATATATGGTATTAAATTGATAATTTTTCTTTTGTAGAAAAATCATAATAATTTGACACTTTTTTGGGTAATATTTTAATATTTTTTTTAATTTTATGTCCTTTTTGTTACTATGAAAATAATTTTGTGCAACTTGACTACTTCATAAAATTCATTTTCTTTTCCTTTCTATGTTGTTTTGTCTTCGACACACTTATTTCTTGGGTATGACTATGCACGCGTTTCATAAACATCAGTATGAGCATAAGAGTAATATAAAAAATTATGTCAATTTATACTTGTAATATAATGAACAAGAAATGCATAAATTTGCACAAAGATAATTCAAGATAAATCAACTTGAAGGATACAAGATTTATGGGCTTAGAATTAAGAAGTTAGTAATGGGTTCAGAAATTAAGGTTAATACTTAATAGCATAGGGTAATGCATGAATTAGCTGTAATCCTTTGCTATATTATCATGTCAACTAAGTTACCAACTCGAATTTAAAATTTGATGTCTTAAAATTAGTTTTAGAGTTGAGTGCATTACTAGTGGAAATTTATATCCAAAATTTATTATTATGAAGATTTTGTTGTTGTTGTTTTTGTCGGAAGATCAGTTGAATAAGACATAGATGTAACGTTTAAGATTCATGACTGAACCAACCACAAAAGTCACAACCTATTAAGAGCCAAAAAATAAAGGAAGGACCTTATTAGCCACCATATAAGCTACCCTATTATTATTCCTACCAACAAACCAAACATGCTGGTAACTCAAAATTATCCCGCCGAATCTTAGCCACTTAGCTTCTTCCATAATTGAACATCTCTAACTATGCCGATCTGATGTCGAATTCACCTAATCAATAATGACACTTTGGCATCCCCCACAATTAGCATCTCCCGAAATCCAAGTTGAATGCTCCTATATAGACCACATCGAACAACATCGATAACTCTACCAAGGACAGATCCACCAAGTCCTCCTACACAACTCCCTTGGCCATCCGTGATTAGCATCAGAATTGTGCCACCTCTCGACCTGGGAATAGTATTGACAAACCCAAGTAATCCAATCGAAACTGTTTAAGCTTAAACATAGCTCATCCGTATGATTTTCAGATTCCCCTTAACAAACACACCAATTGTATCACTTTATGCAATCCCGTTGCATAATCGCCCAAAAAACATGGAGTTTTGGCCCCGCAATGTCCCAAAGGACCTTCTCCATCGGGAAAACAAGAGCATATGTTCTAGAGTGTCAAACTCCGCCCAGCTGACCAAACACCTTACCAACACATCAATCTCCCTCAATGGTAAATACCTCTATTGTAGGAAAAATTCGATGGGGGGAGTCTGCTACAAGAAAATCCTGTCTCAACGGATAACACCAGCATGTTCAAGTTTTCATGATTTTCAATATTAACAATTGATCTTCACATAAAACTAATGATTTGGCTTTCATTTTAATATATAGAAGTAGAGAGTTTGAAAGAATTTTGAAAGTAAGTTTTTAAAGGAGAAGTGAATATTTAGATTTTAACCAAAACAATGAAAAATACTCCTTTTTGTTGTGAAATCTTAAAATTTCAAGGAAAGCCATAAACCCTTAATGTTCTGAAAGGTTGATGCCCCTAGGGTCGTTTTGAGGCAAGAGGAGAGTCTGAGTACATATGATATTTGGGGGAAAATTCAAGTCAAAGGTGGAAATTTGTTGCTTTGACTTGAAGACATATACCTGCATTCGATTGGAAGTCACATGGGTCTCGCTGCCCGGTTAGCAAGTCAGAGTATATGAGCGAAGCGCCCAGTTTGAACATATGGGCTTAAATAGGGGTGAACAAACAAACCCGCAAACCGACCCATCCGTCCAACCCGACCCAACCCACCCGTATTTATCGCTAAAACGAAGGTTTTGGGTTGGGTGATGGTTTTCTTTTGTACAACCCGCCTCTTTTGGGTTGGAATTGGATTTTGGATTACACAACCCGTAGAACCCGACCCAACCCGTGGTCCAACTATTAGTATAAGTTCGGATCTAAAAAATATTTATGTCGTATATAGTCATATACTTATGAGAAAATTAAGATATTCGCCATGTTTTTCTCTCATGGTCTCCCTAATCTAATGCATTCTTCGATTTAAAGTTTAGACATAAATTGAATATAGTTATGATTCACGTAATCCTTTTTCTTGTGTACAATTTTAATAGAATAACATATGATGGATGCGTTTGTTTATAACATTTTTAGCCTATTTCAACAAATATCGTGAAAAAAACAAGACATATGTTGAAGTAAATCACATTTTATTAAAATTTAAACAACATTTGTGAATTTTGATACCTTTCACCTTGGTTCATTCATTTGAAATTTTAATTAGTTATAAAATATTTTTATGATGTAGAATAGTTATATATTTTATGTTGGGTTGGATTTTTACTTAAAAATATCGCCAACCCGACCCAACCCAATTAGAAATAAACCGTAGGGTTTAAATTTTTTTGGGTGGGTTTGGGTTTGATATTTTCCAAACCGTAGTGCATGGGTCGGGTGATTAAAATGACTAAACCCGAACCACACGACCCATGTACACCCCTAGGCTTAAACACATTTCTTTTACGCTTTAGGGCCTGGTATATAACCTTTTTCCTTTTCACGTTGCATTAGGATTAGGTTGTGTAAAAAATGTGTCATATATACATTCTCAATCTATGTAATCTCTGTGAACCACCTAAATCTGTGTGTTATTTACTTTCTTACATTGTCAATTTTTAGAACCATTCCAATAACATAAAGTAGGGGTGGCTATACGGTCCGGTTAAATTGTCTCGAATTGATCCGGTCCCAGTTCGATCTTTTCGGGAATATAAGGATCAACGATTGGATTGGATACATTCCGGTTTTGATCTGGTTCGGTCTTGATAGATTGAGTTTGTGGGAAATTGAGTGACCTGAGGCCTCAAAGAGTGAAGAGTTGGTTAAGTTTTGAGTGTTGGACTCTCTTATCCCGTCTTTATCTCGATTTTTGATCCGGTCTCAAACGGTTTTTTACTTTAAATCCAAGCCCGAAGATGAGATTGGATTGTTAGCTATCCGGTTCCGTTCCAGATTATACGATCCGGTTTCGGATAAAACCAAATAGCCCGGACCAAATTGCCAGCCCTAATATAAACTATGTATTAAACTAAATTTTTGGGTATATACAATATATTATCCATAACTATTAAGTAGCGGGGAATTATAGCCACAACTATCGAAATACAAATTATTAGCCATAACTATTGTTGTGGGTCAAGATTTGGCTAACAGCCAGTTACTGTTTTCAAATTTTTAACGTAGAAGGCCATGTCAGCATCGTAAAAAATATGATATGATGACTGCCACGTGGCAGCCAGCTCACCATCGTAAAAGCTTAGTCATCATTATTAACAGAAGTGTTAACGAAAACTTAACGATTGGCTAATAATTTGTATTTCGATAGTTGTGGCTATAATTCCCCGCTACTTAATAGTTATGGCTAATATATTGTATTTGCCCATTTTACTAACTATGATTCACATTATAAAATATAAATGTCATACTCACAGCATAAAGTCAGAATATTCTCTTACGGGACTTATTCGGTAATTTTTGCATAGTGCGGGTACCAAAACTGGATTGAATTCTTTGAGTTTATGCTATTTACCTCTTCGAAAGCGGATTAATTCATTCTTCTTGTTTTTTTTCCTTGGGGATTGCGTTGCATTATAAAATGGGGTCGCTCACTTTCCCTGAGTCAGTTTTCAGTTTTCACACCCCCGCGACGCGGCCTTTTCCATCGCCAAGCAGGTACGGCGTCGTCACATTGCTCCCCTTCCCCTTCTCTCGCAAGTAATCAACCAATCTCTTGCAACAACCTCCGCGTACTTGTTCTCCGACCACCGCACTTGTGTACCGCGACACAGTTTTCCAGGTTAGGGTAGCTTACCTTTGAAACCTTGCCCGGCCGCCGCCGTTCTCAGCTTTTTTGTTCACCAATGGTCGAACGATGTTCTTCGTCTTCGCTCTCGTCAATGGCGCCGCGGGAAGAAAAGCCCGATGCAATGAGCAGTAGCATGCTAGATCAATTCTATGCCCAGTACAACAACAGCACAAACCATCATCCCCAAAATCGTACGCGGCAGCAGCCGCCGCCGCCGCCAACACTGCAACCGCATGGTACGTAGATTAAAGGCCATTTGGCGCAGAAGTCTTAACGTTGAGCTCTTCCATTTCCAATGAATTAGGGCTTGAAATTAGGGCAAACCGATTGATGTTGAGCTGTGAGTTATAGTAAGGCTACTTTGTTCATTCATGATTGGAATCCCACAGAGAGTTTCTGCTGGTTGATGTGCTGATGTAGTTCTGAAATCAAGATGGAGTGCATGTTTTTCTGCTTCCCTGCTTTCCTGGTTCTATAACGGATTTATGATAGCAGTACTTGATTTATTGTGACTGTGTAGGCACCCCGAGTCCCATGGCTTTGAATCGGCAACATGAATCGCATCTCAAGGTACCCACTTTGTTTCAGATTGACAAACTTTCTCAACATTACTCTTTTCTCCACGACCAGAAGAAATGAATGTCGTCCTCGTTTGGTTTAGTTGCAGGCTGAAACAGCAGAGGCGAAGAGGATGTGCCACATGGTGATAAACGTATTGAGACAGGTGAGACTTTCACTCGGGAGAGTTCTCAATTTTTGTTACTTTAGTTTCACCCCTTCGTATGACCAATCTTCTGATTGATTTGTTATTTATGGATTTCCAGCAGAGGTCTGTTGATCATAAAACCATGGAAAAGCTGGCATTTTGCATGAAGTTCTTGAACCATCCAAACAGCGATAAATCCGCGGAGAAGCTGGCTTTCATCAAGAAGTGGATGTACTCTGTAGTTCAACAGTCGACGCCAAGAAAGCCAGCTTCTTTGTCGTGCACTTCAGGGCAATCTTCCTCTTCTAATATGCTTCCAGCAGAAGATGCCCGACAGCCACATCCACAGCCTCCAGCTGGTAGTTTTCATGGGCCAACTGTTAGTAATGTCCTCCCACCGCACTTGTGCGATAATGTACCGAATCAAAGTACTACCACAACCTCTCACTTGGGACCTGTTCCCCCCAAGCGTGGGCGTCCAAAGCGCCCACAGAAGTCAGGGGAAGCTTTCCTGCTTGAAAAACCGGAGAAGAAAGTTCAGAAACGCCAAGGAATGCTAGATGTCAAAGTGAAACAGGAAACACAGCTGCAGCAGCAGCAGAAGCAGGTTTTTGCTAATGAAAAGCCCCAAAAATCTGTGGATGTTAAAAGTACTGGGACATCAAAGGTTCTTCATCAGAAACCAGCTCCTGCGAAAGCAGTTGTGCATAATCAACATGTTAAGTCTGCTACACTACCACCTTCTTCCTCTGATTCGGAGCTAGAGAAGACGGGCATAATGACTGATCAAGCTTTAGCTGCGACTGTTTCGGGTAGGAAAGTGACAGAAGAACCCTTCAGCCACTTGGTTAATTTGGTATGCAATTTGCTCATACTTCCAATCTTACTTTCATTTTCCTATTCATTTTCCTATAGAAGGCAGGAGAACCTGGTAAAGTCTAACTCGTTTCAATTTCACAGGTTCAGCGGATATCCGGCAAAGCATTAAGTGCTTCTGTGGATGAGATTTGGTCAATAGTTAACTTGAGTGATCGTATCCCTGGGGGAAAGAAGATGAATCGCTGGTTTGATGTGGTTTCCAGTTCCTCATTTGATCCCGACATATCAACTGCTGGGGTTGAGGTATATGCCTTCTTTCAACTAAAAGATTTAAGGTTTTTATGGATAAGAAGAATTTTAGACAGGTTTGACTGTCCTAGCTGTAACTTCCTGGGACAGGGACAACTCACGAGCAGAAGCTTCACTGCTCTAACTCTGCAATATATTGTGTTACAGAGAAATCAAGCTCTCCGGGAGGAAGTAAGAACGATAAATCAGCAGCTAGTCGATACTGATGTAGCGATTATTCCAGATGGTAATGCAAGGACCATAATGAAGTGCTCGTTTAACGCGGCCTCCATCTCGCCGATGGTAAGCTTTGACTCGTTGTATTTGCATCAACAGCACGTATCTTCACATTTGGCAATGTTCTTTCTGGTATCTTATATGGCTCTTCACTTATTGCAGCAACCAATTGAGCCCTTGAAATTGCTTGTCCCCGCAAACTATCCTCAATCCTCTCCTGTATTACTGGAAACGTTGCCAGTGGAGATCAGGTGAGTCTCTTTAGCCCTCTCTTCCCTTCCCCTTTTCCTTTGATTTTATCTGCTCTTACGATTTCACTGTGAAAATGGCGACAGTGGCGAGGATGATCTTTCTGTAAAAGCCAAGTCAAGGCTGCACCGCTGCCTGAGAAGTCTGCTCCATCCGGTGACATTGGAGGACATAGCGAGGAGTTGGGATGTTTGTGCAAGACAAGTCATTACCGAGTATGCATTACAGAATGGTGGCGGGAGCTTCAGCTCACAGTATGGAACCTGGGAAACTGTATAAAGTGACGAAGCCTGCTGAAACCTGAAAGGAAGAAAGCGGGAAGAAACATAAAAAGAAGGCTCTCAACAGAGTAAATATGCATTGGGATTTGATTATGCAGTTGTTCTACTGCGAAATATTGGATTTTGGTGTCTTCTTTTTCTCAATAGATAGCGCAAATTGCAGTTTGTAGATATTGAGTTCTGCCTACAGAAACCTTCAAGCTTTTGCTGGTCATCATATGACGTACGAATTCTGTGAAAAGAAGGTCAAAAGAAAATGTCAAAATGAACTGAAAATGTAATAGAACAGGTGACTTGAGAAAATGGGAATTAATCAAAGACCAAAACATATAAAACTTATAAAAACTGGAGTTGTTTGAATATGTTGCTTACTTCAGGGGGTAAAAGGTAACTAAACCAGATAAAACCCGCAGGTCGAGGATTGCCTCCAATCGTTAGAACGAAGTGGGAGTAGGCACTGTCTGTCTGTCATGGACATGGGTGCAGCAAGTGCCTACCTCTCACCGTCACGGTGGTCGCTCCCTCTAATTCCGCCGCCGTCGCCGTCGCCGTCGCCGCCGCCGCCGCCGCAAGAATCCATACCTTTCTCAAGAGTATCCTGCTGCTCTTCTCGGCTCTCTTCTTCCGCTGTCACTTCTGGCAGTGGCAGCAGCAAAACAGCGACCTTATCCGCAATTCAGAGTTCTGGCATCATTGCCTGCCTTTGCTCCTCCTGGTAAACTAACTTGCTGATCCTCGCTAATTGAGTTCATAGTTGTCTTGCTGCCTGGTTCATTGATCATGTTTTAAATTTCAGTGCGGAGATTGCTTTTGAAGCTGCTTCTGCTGCATTGGATGGCGGCATCTCAGTTGTGAGTCCCCTTTACTAAATCTCTGTCGGCCCTTTGGGGTAATGGTGAGCAGAAAGATTCTGGCTATCAGAATTCTCCTCAAATTAGGATAAAGGAGGAGCCTTTGATGGGTTATTGGCCTATTTTGGGTTTTGCTCTTCTTACAATAATACAGTATTCTCATGGTGCTTTTCTTTATCAATTGGCAGCTGGAGATCACGATGTCAACCCCAGGTGTGTTTCAGGTTGTTTTTTGCTGTCTTTAATATATGAACTTTCCCCGGCTTAATTTTAGTTTTTTTTTTGTTTGTTTCTGTTTGGTGATTCAATGGAGTTCCAATCTCTGTGCTTCTTGCATTGAATGGCTTTGTAGGTTTTGAAACGCTTGGTTGAGGCATACCCGGCAGCATTCTTAGGGGTAAGATCCCTTCCTAATCCTCTCGGTATTTAATGGGATTCACTCATGATTTGGTCAAGGAAGAGAATTTTCTTGAAACAAAGAGCCATGATTTTCATGGTTTACTACATCCCAGATTCATCCTGAGTTATATACTCTCAAGCATTTCATAATTGAACGTCACGTTTCTGATAGTATTCTCATAGGTTGGCACAGTTTTGAGTGCTGCGGATGCCATGAACGCAATGAATGCTGGAGCCAGATTCCTCATGAGCCCTGCTACTGTGAAGGTATGGGAATTTGTAATCGGAGAACAACATGACTCCCGGGTTTTCCCCCGTACTTTTCGCTCATTTCAGAGATCTCCTTTCCAATTCTTTCTTCATGACAGAATTCGTTGCTTTTGTTAGGATGTTATGAATGTTGTTCAAGGTACTGAAGTTCTTTACATACCTGGTGTAATGACACCAACAGAAGTAAGAAACTTGGTCCAGTTTGGACTCTTCAGCTATTGCTTTCCCAGTTGACTTATCTAGTTTCAAGGAATTGTAACACTAGCATATAGTTTTGCTTTTACAGATACTGTGTGCATACAATGGCGGTGCTAGTATTGTCAAGGTGAACATTTATGCAATTACGTTTCTGATTGTCAAGTTAAAAAATAGATTGAACTAATCCTCCAAACTCTGATGTGTTTGAATGTGGGGCGGCCATATTGATAAGGGCATCATTTCCATGTCTAATATTTGTTTTTTGTGTTCCTTCCTATGTATTCTGTGTAAGTTAGGTGCTTTGCACGAGTAACGTCCTACGACGATGTTTACTCTTTTCATTCCGTGAATTAGGTATATCCTGTTTCTGCATTGGGTGGAGTCCAGTACATTGCAGCCCTCAAGAAGCCTTTCTCCGATATACCAATGGTTGCTTCTCAAGGAATAACAACAGGTGTTGCACCCTTTTTCTGTGTGAATATCATGCTTTCCGGTGATTTTCGGGAGTTTTCTTTTCTGCACTTATCTCTTTTTGGTGCTCAGCTTTTCATTCCCTGTGATTTTGTATGCAATGCAGATTCTTTAGGGGACTATATAACCGCTGGAGCTTCAGCAGTCGTTCTGTCAGATGCCATATTCAGTAAAGAGGCAATGCTGCTGAGAGATTTCAGCAAAATACATCAACTAGCACTTCATGCTTCTTCGCAGGGGAAAGAAGCTGTGCACGGGTAAATGTGTTTTACTTGAACAGTGAAGATGCTAGGCGAGGCAAATTTTTGAGTTTTCTGGTTTGGTGATATCAAGTATATTCGTAGTACTACTACAATGCTGCTACAGCAGCCATGGCCAGTACCTTCAAATGCAAGCTAACTCCTAATTTTCGAAGTAGGCCCCTCTTGATACCGAGAATACGATACCCCTGTTATAAAGCGAGCAGAACACTTTGAACGCCATCAAAACCAAGATCATTACTGCAGTCAAAAGCGTCGGTGACTGCCAAGAAGCAAACACATATTGCCCCATAAACCTCCCAATCCTCACCTTCCATTGTCCAATGTAATACAAGTTCACCTCTGCAATGACCTCATCCAGAAAAGCCACTCTGGTCAGGCTAATCGAATTGCTCGTCCCGTTCCACAAATCTGCCGCATCATGGGTCACTCCTCAAGTGATTCAAAACCACATTACCACACCCACAGCCTCACATCCTTCCGAGTGTCAGTGATCCCATTCATCAGCTCCGTGTGTCGTGTGAAAACCGGCGGCCCTTCGTGAGTAATGTCATTCAAATATTACATCTCATTAAAATTTATTTTTCGTTGGAGATGAGAAAATCAAAAATTGTAAAATCGTATTAGATGTTGTACTGAAAAATTAATAATATGTTATTTTATTATTATTAAATCATGGTTTATTCGAAGTTGAACTGGTTTATATTGTCAAAATCGCCAATTGGTAAAGAAGTCATTGAATGCGAAAGGCCCATCGTCGTAGTTGACCTTGTAAAGGCAATGGTCGGAGCGGCAGTAGGGAACCTCTAGGGTGTCCCACTCCCACTCATGGTCGTTGCAGGAGAATGGGGATTAAGCAGGGTGATGGTAGCAATTGTCGTAGGAGTGCGGATATAGTGACTAAGTCTCTTCTAACAGTCAGATCTCAACACAAAAATTTAATAGTTAAATAATAGGAGCGATTTTTTTATAAGTTGTTTTTACAATGATTTTTTAAAGTGATAGGATAGTTTTGGTATTATGAAAAATTAATTTTTATTTATGTTTTTATATAATTTCTTTGCCCCTCTCCCACTATCACTTTTCAGCGTTCTCCCCCTTCCTTTTTTTATTTATCTACCCTCTTTTTTTGCCACTTTATTTATATTTTTAACTAGACTAAACAGTCCCTAAAAAAAAGGTTATAGGTATAATATGCCCCTCTACTATGTCGTTTTATCAAATATGGCCCTCTACTATTTTTTACGTCAAACATGCCCCTGTACTTTGGAAAAATTATCAAACATGCCATTCTGTTAAAATTTTCATCCATAAACCGTTAACCATGACCAAACTTTAGTTTGGGCTGCTCAAATGTCTAAAATATCCCCAATAATTTCACTTTAGAAATTTTTTGGTTCTTTTGTATAGCCAAATAATCCTAATAATTTCACTTTGACGCGACCCAGAGAAATAAAACAGGGGACAAAACTGACATTTTCCCTCCCATTTGCCGATATCGGGTCGTCTAAACCTCGGTTCAACCATGATTGTCTATTTTTTCAATGAAATTTTTAACAGAAGGGCATGTTTGATAATTTTTTCAAAGTACAAGAGCATGTTTGATGTAAAAAATAGTATAAGGGCATGTTTAATAAAACGACATAATAGAGGGGCATATTATATCTATAAAAAAAAAGACTAAACAGAACAAATGAGTATACAAATCATATAATAAAAGTGTACGAACAATCTATTAATTAATAGATTGTATACAAATCATCATGTAAAATTCTACAAATCATATCATTATATATACCATATATATATATGGTGGCTACTTCGGTACACTCACTTTTTTGGGTGCAATCAGTGCACCCATCTCTAAAAGTGTCCATAATACATCAATTTTTGAACTTTAATGAGTTCTCTCAATCTAATATGATGATATGCCATAGAATCATAACAAATCAATCTACTACTCTAACCCTTTAACCTTCAATTTTGAATCCCAATGCAAAATCCCAAACTGTAAACCTAAACCCTAACCTTAAACCCCTAAATCCTAAATTCTACAAATTAAAGTAAATTTTAAATGATTTTTTTTTTTCAAATTCACGTGCTTCTTGTTCATAATATCATAAGCAACAATTGATACTATTTTGACATGAATCGCATGGTCAGAATGATGATTATGAGGCGGGTGCACTGAGTGCACCCAAAAAAGTGGGTGCGCCGAATACGTCACCATATATATATGGCAAAGGCCGGACGTACGCTCGCCTACCGTATGCCCCATTGAGTTTTGCTATTTAGACAAAGAATTAATCGGAGTTTGGGACTTGATACTATACCCTAACCCCTAATGGGTGAATCCTAGTCCCCAATTCACTAACCCAAAGCATGAGATTCGTTTAATCTTAAAAATAAAAATCAAGGATCCTGATTCGTCGAAATTTTCATTGATTTTCATTTTAAGATTAAACGAATCTCATGATTTGGGTTAGAAAATTAGGGACTGGGGTTTACCCATTAGAGGTTAGGGTATAGTATCATGCCCAAAACTCCGTTTAATTCATGATCTATATATCAAAACTCAATGGGGCGTACGCTAACCTAGCATACGCCCGGGCGTACACTAGCCTTAACCATATATATATATATATACATATACCCGAAGTTTGATTTAATGAAAAATAAAATTGACCGTTGAGATCGGCCGGAGCTCATCTAAGTACCTCTAACGGTTAGATCACTTGTTGTATATTATACGCCTGACGTACACCAGTAAATGAGCTCCGGCCGATCTCAACGGTCAATTTTATTTTTTCATTAAACCATACTTCGGGTTGGGGTTTAGAAAATCGGTGCCTGGGGTTTATCCATTAGAGGTTAGGGTATAATATCATACCCCAAACTCGATTTAATTCATGGTCTAGATAGAGATATCTTACTAGTAGTACCTGACGTATAGTATACGCCTGCCGTACGCCAGTCTAACCCATATATATATATATATATATATATATATATAGTGGCGTCTTCGGTGCACTCACTTTTTTGGGTGCGTTCAGTGCACTCACTTCATAACCATCGTTTTAAACATGCGATTTATGTAAAAATGATGTTAATCATCACTTATGATATGATGAACAATAACGCACATGAATTTGCACAAAAACCATTGAAGATTTACTTTAATTTGACGGATTTAGAGTTTAGAGATTTAGGGTTAGGGTTTACAATTTGGGGTTTAGGGATAGAACTCAAAATTGGAGGTCTAAGGCTTAGGGTAATCGGCTAATTAGTTGTTATCATACGTTATATCATCATATTACACTGATTCTACAAATTAAAATTCAACATCCGACACCTTAAGACTAGTTTTTGAGTTGGGTGCATTGAACGCACCCATTTTTGTGAGTGCACCGAAGTAGTCACCATATATATATATATTGTGGCTTATATATATATATGGTGCAATTCAGGTTCTGGATATCGTTTTCTTACTCAAGGTATGTGGTACCCCGAATTTCACCCTGGGTACCGTAGAACTCCCCATACATATATATATATATATATATTGTGGCTACTTCGGTGCACACACTTTTTTGGGTGCATTCAGTGCACTCACCTCTAAAAGTGGTCATAATACATTAAATTTTGAAATTTAATGGGTTGTATTAGTCTAATATGATGATATAACATAGAATCCCAACTAATCAACCAATTATTCTAACCTATTAACCTTCAATTTTGAATCTCAACCCAAAATCCCAAATTGTAAACCCTAACCCTAAATTCCTAAACTCTGAATCATTCAAATTAAAGTGAATCTTGAATGATTTTTGTACAAATTCATGTGGTTCTCGTTCATCATACCACAAGTGATGATTGACATCGTTTTCACATGAATCTCCTGCTCAGAATGACGATTATGAGATTGAGGCGGGTGCATTCAAAACAGTGAGTGCACCGAAGACATAACCATATATATATATATATATATATATATATATATATATATATATAAACTAATATTACAAATAATAACGGTACAAAATACCACTACTTGCAATATAAACCGATACAATTTGTATTACAAACCAATAAATACAAAGTATACAAATCATAACATAAAAGTGGGATGGGACAACCAAGGGTATTTTGGGTATGAAAAAAAAGAATATATTAATTACCTGTTTTGTATTAATTATATTGGGAATTAAAAACCCATATTAAATACAATTATTTTTTTGAAATTTAAATCCTATACATTAATATCTCTATCTCTCTCTCTCTCTTCCTTTCTCCAGAGGCCACTCCGCATCGACGGACATACTTTTTCTCCAGCGAATTCTCTCCGGCAGACTCCCTCCGGCAACCTAAAAAAATGTATCAGTGCGTTAAAAAGTGTACCAATCCATTAGTCTACTGGTCATTAATATACCTGTGCTAGTGGTACGCTACCAGTGCGTTAAAATATGTACAGTACTAGTGGTACGCTACCAGTACAGCGCTACCACTACCATATTGTATCGTACCACTAGCACTGGTAGCGCTACCACTAGCATTGGTAGCGATACCAGTAGAGAATAACACAAAAGAACAGATGATATTGGTACCAGATGATAGTGGTACGCTACCACTACCAGCTGCCTTATGGTAGTGGTAGGTACCACTATCACTGGTACGCTACCAGAAGAAAAAGGGTACCACTAAAAAACCAGATCTAGAAAATGGGAGTCGGTGACGGGAGAGAGGTAGGGGAAGAGGGTGACCTCGCGACGACGGCAGTGGTGGGGGATGAAGGGCGGCGAGAGGGCTCCGACGGGGAGAGGATGATTGTGCCGCGGTGGTGGGAGGCGGACGTTGCGACGGGCCGGCGAGACAACGGGGTGTGGAGGGAGGCTGAGGATGGCGGAGACGACGACGATGGAAGGCTCGACAGGCGGCTGCAGGAGACAGGGGCGCCGACGCCGGCGGTGGAGGGCTGTGGCGGCGGAGGGCTCTGCGAGAGAGAGAGAGAGAGAGGGAGGAGAGACAGTGATGGCTACGAGAGAGAGGGAGGAGAGAGAGAGATAGGGAGGATGGAGGAGTTAGAGTTTTTTTTTCTTTTTATATGGTAGGGTGAATGATTGGGTGTGGTAAATTTTTACCCTTCCAAAAATATCCTTCCTTTAATCTTAACCGTTAATTTAAAAAAAGAAGAAAGAGACAGGAGAGAGAGCGTATCCAAGAGCTATGAAGTGGGTTGAGAATCTGACAACCCCCTTAAGGGGTTGTCACCGTATCCCGTCCCCATAAAATTATACAAAGTTGAGAAACAAACTCTACAAATTACAATGTATACAAATTAGTCATATAAACCTTACAAACATAATATAAAAAAAATATTCGAATCAGAATGACATTATGTACAAAGCATACTAACATTACAAAATACCACTACTTGTAATACAAACCATTAGAACTTATTACAAACCAATAAATACATATTAAACAAAGTAGAAAAACAAACATTACAAATTACAATGTAAACAAATTAGGCATATAAACATTACAAATATGATAGACAAAAATATCAAACTAGAATGCTAAATATTATAAACCAAATTGATTATTACAAATCATATTTACAAACTAGATTGACAAACATTAAAAACTCGTCGCCGCCGTAAAAAATCTTCACGCCATCCCTGTCTCTCTCCTCCTCCACACCGTTGCATTTCTCTCCTTTTCTAACCTAAACCATGAGATTCATTTAATTTTAAAATGAAAATCATTTATAATTTCGGCGAATCAGAATAGTTGATTTTCATTTCAAGATTCATAATGAATATTATGTTTTGGGTTAGTGAATTGGGGACTGGGATTCATGCATTAGTGTTAGAGTATAATATCATGCCCCAAACTACGCGTAATTTACTGTCTAAATAACAAAACTTAATGGACGTATGGTAGGTTAGCATATGTTCGGGCATAGAGGTGGCAATTTCAATCCAATCCACCAATCCAATCCATCAATCCATTAAAAATATCCACATAATCCAATCCATTTAAATCCAATCCATTTGATCCAAATGTAATTGGATTGGTGGATTCATGGATTGGATCCATGGATCATTGGCAAATTACGATTTAGTACCTATAATTTTTATTTTTTACATTTTGATACCTAAAATTTAATTTTTTATACGAAAAATATCATTGAAAAATTACGTTTTGGTACCTAAAATTTTTCATTGTGACATTTTAATACCTAAACTTTTTACATTTTACAAATTGGTCCTTGGTTGAAGATGTCATTTGGATTCATGGATAATCCACCAATCCACTTTATCCAATCCATGAATCCACCAATCCATTAGATCCAATCCATTTGATCCATGGATCCACCAATCCACCAATCCAATCCATTTGCCACTTCTATTCGGGCATATGCTAGCTTTTGTTATCTATAAATACTTTGTTATCTATAAAGTTATATTTAGTTATTTACCCATAAATTTATAGATAAAATGGATAATAATGTCTTCGAGCAACCACATTATCCCGTTCGACGGTCGGATTCCTTATGCCAATCGTATTTGAGTGTCAGCAATGTTTTCCTTTTCGGATATGGTTAAGTTTGTACTTATTATATCTTGATCGGTGGTTAGTTCATTTGAAGCCAGACAAACAATTGGAACCCAAACAATTCCTTTCACCTTCCAAATCCGCAAGCAAAAGCAGAGTCTTCTGTCAATTGGTCTGAGCCATGGCGACGGAAAGCTGCACGACGGTTTCAGATCTGGCGCTCGGCGCACGGTTCCGCCCTGCTCGAGTCTGCAGAAAACGACGCCTCCTTTCAGAAGTAAATCCTCCTACTCCAGCGATTAGCAAACTGGGAGACGATCTCCTCACAGAAATTCTGGTTCGCGGTTTCCCGAATCCTAGATCCGCCTGCCGGAGCAGAGCCGTATGCAAGCAATGGAGATCCCTGATTTCCGATCCCTGCTTCGGTCGCCGTTTCCTTTCTTACCACCAGAGCATGAACACCCACCCTCCTCCCAAGCTTCTTCACTCAACTGACCGGAAATCTGCCTTACTGAGCTTTCTCCCCTGGCCCGCCGATTGCGCCTCCGATATAGAGTACGAGCTGACACGTTTCGCAGTTTTTGATTGCTTCAAGGACCTGCTTTTATGTGGCTTTTGGGAACCAGGTAACCGCCCTACTAATGATGAACTTGCCAGATCGTACTTGCTGTGCAATCCGTTTACGAAGCAATGGATTGCACTTCCGTTGGCCCCTGAAAGACCAGTGGGGCATACAGGATTGTGTGCAAGGTTAGTTTGTGAACCCTTAGATTCTAATAGTCTTTTTGGTCTAGGAGATGGTTCTGAGTATCGGTTCCGGGTGGTGTGCATATACCAAGATGTGAATTCTATGAAACTAGATGTGTTCTCTTCGGAGTCTGGAGAATGGACCAAGGAGGCGCTTGTTCTTCAAGGTTACTGCAGACGCGAACGAAGTTGTGTTGTTTCATGCGATGGGGTTTTGTATTTGTCGTATGCTAGAGCACAAGGCAACCATGGCGGGCTGTCTGAACCTTTGATTGCTGCTATTAATCCTTTCCGCCTTGATATACCTCCCACTCCTATTGATGTTTCCCCAGTCTCTGCTAATAATCTGTGGTGGGATATTTCAATTTCACAAGGTGCTGTGCACTTGATTGTGTTTGAGGAGGGCACTAGACCTGCTTCTTCGAGGATTGTTTTGAGTGTTTGGAGATTAAACGAAGACTGTAAATTCTGGAGGAAGGTATGCGCAGGTCTGGTCAAGTCATCCTCAGACGGTAATTATCAACCCGAGTCCCTTTATGTTCCTATGCTACATCCAGAAAAACCGGAAACTGTCTTCTTCCCTCGTTTTGTTGGCCGTAACTATTCTTACTTGTCCTGTGATTTGAGCAGGGGAGGGCAACTAGAGTTTGTCGCTGAACTAACTGAACATTTTAGTGGTTGGAGGGTGTTCCAGCCTAAGGTCTCTTGCTGGCCTACTCCAATTCCAAAGTACCAGAAGTTGCGAGTTAGGTACGATGGAAGCTACGACTGTTGGGATCAGTTTGATGAACCCGAACCAATAACTCCCTCGATAACTGGTACTTGTGTTACTTCTGCTTCTGAGAATTTGCCTTTTGAACAAATAGAACCCGTTGATGGAGTTGAACAATCTTGTCATTGGAAGAAGCTGAAAAGATGGTGAAAGGCTCGTCTCCTCAGCAAGGGGAGGAAGGATGACGGGTTTGGAAGGAAATTCCAACCCACGTAATACTGATGTGCGTGAGAAGAAATTGACTAAATTCTTCTCACCTGCCATGAAAGCAAGCAGCTGAAAATCCACAGAAAGATGTCTGCCTCAAGACTTGATGCCTGAGATGGTAGACAAGTTTGGTCCTGACCTGAAAGGGTTTAAAGGAAATGTTTTTCAGGGAAGCAGAATTTCTCTTGACACAGCCTTACTTAGTTTCTGTTTCGAGCAACAAATGGTTAGAGAGATTGCAACCAACGGTGGTGAACAATACTCCACTGACCATACTTGCAGTGACCTCTGCTGCTCAATTTACTTGTCTGAGGTTGACAAAATGGTGGGTGTCCACAGACTCGAAGGATGCTCATATTAGCTCGTTCGATCCTGTTTGTGGAGCTATTTAGGCCAGCAATGAGAAATTTGAATAGTTTGTATATGGTAAGAACTGTATCTTCTGGTAGGGATTTGTACAGCAGGTTTAGTTTGTAGATGGCAAGAACTGAGAATGTCAGTAAAGCTATACATATTTAAGTTATGAGAGCTGTTTGAGGATCTCGAGTCTGCAATATCACGTAAGCCCCTATCAACAAAGAGGTGATGCGATTTATAGTTCATCGTAACTTAGTTTATCTTATTAGATGGTAATTAGGGATGTTAACCAAACCCAAATCTACGGGTATCCACTCGACCCAACCCAACTCGGTCAACGCGGGTAAAATCCGTGTTGACGGGTTTTTGGCCGAGTTTGGGTTTAAACATGTTCACTATCCGACGGGTTGGGTTTGGGTTTAGGTAAACCCGACCCATGGGTACCTGCCCACACTCATATAATTAATTTTCTCGATATATTTAATATTCTAAACAACTAAATCTTATTTATATTTGTGGAGACATGTCTAATTTTTTCTTTCTAATGGTGTAGAATGAAGTTGATTTTATCGAGTGAGAGTGAAGAAACTTAATTGAAAGGAAGAAGTTTTCAATAAATCATGTTATTTATGGATAATTTGTGATTTGCTTCAATTTTCTTTAATTTTCTAGATTGGTGTTGAACAATTTGTATAGTTTTTTTTTTATCAAAAACAATTTGTATAGTTAATTTGTGATTTGCTTGAATTTTCTAGAATGGTGTTTTATATATGAATAATTTGTATTGAGAGATTGATATTTTACTTTAATTTTGATCGGAACTTGTTATTGTAAATTTTTTACGACAAAAACACGTGGGTACCCATGAACCTGCGGATACCCAGCGGGTTGGGTTGGGTTTGAGTTTTGTAACCTAGTGGGTTTTACCCCGTTTTTTTTTCACGGATAAACCCGTGGGTTTGGGTTTGAGTTTGACAAAATCCGACCCAACCCAACCCATTGCCATCCCTAATCGTAAGTTGCACAAAAAATTGTGATTGGTAGTGGTCCTCTGAATAAATCTTCTAGATTGTCAATGATCTTCATGATCATTTTATTCATACAGGATCATCATGATAATTTATAATGGACATAGTCCACAATCCCAAGAGGTGGATGAATCAGAAATGTATTCAGAATTTGTCTGCTAAAGTTAATCTTGGATCTCCATGGAATAGGGGTGGGCATGCGGTTTGGTGTTACCGAACCGAACAGAATAAAAACCGATCGAAACCGAATTTTATCTTATTAGGTTCGGAATTCGAATGGGAATTTACAACATTAAAAGGCCCAACCCATTAACCCAACCCTTTTCAGACTTCAGCAGGCCTACTCCCCACCTTGACCCAACTAAAGCCTAAACCCAATACCCAAGCCCAACCTTCTTGCCCCAAGCCCCTAAGTAAAGCCCAATTCCAAGCCCACAAGTCCACAACCGAGAAAACCCTAGGAAGAAAAGGAAGGAACATTGCTTGTGTTGCACGAATATTGTGGCTCCTTTTAATGCAAGGATGAAGCTTTTTGGTAGCATGGATTAATCAACATAGGATGAAAGGACGCTCAATCTGGGGCTTGCTAGTTACATCGATAGGATCATGGATCTTGAGAACCCTGTTGAAGGTAAGAGGATGGTTTAGATTCAGAATGGATGTCAATGTTGCTGGAAGGGTGACATGAGAAGAAGTCAATGCCTTAATTTCTATTCACATTATTTATACACCCTACTCTCTCTCTCTCTCTCTCTATATATATATATATATTAACTAATTAATTTGTTCAACATTCGCAGCGGAAATAATCTCGAGTGTTACATTAATTTCTACAAATAACCTAAAAAATTTCTGCACGAATGACTCACGAAATGGGCTAACAGTTCTTGCAAGTTGAAACTAGACCTGAAAATATTTCATATGAATCTCTGCATTCATAGACATACATATATACCCACAACCATTTGCATTGGATTCTCATAGCCCTAATCACAGTTTCATACTCTGCAACTGTATACCATACTTATACATGTCATAATCGTCACTACATACACATCCACACACAAATACACATATAATCAACTTCCACACCTGTGGATATCTCACACTACATCAGAATCTAGTATGCACATGAAAAACGTTCTCAAACTAGCAATCAAGCTAAAGCACTAGGATCAAGCCTCATCCATCCAAAATCCAAATAAGAAAAAAACTTAACCACCTTGACTTGTGCATATGCATCTTATCATGGTTTTACTTATAGGCGTCTGGTCATGTTGGACCCACCATTTTCTGTATGTCACATTGGACTTGACACCACTATGGGTGTGGTCATGCACGACACCACTCTGGGTGTATACATACCTCATGAAGGATTGATTCGGGCTTAATTGTACACTTTTCACCCCTCGTTTCCTTAGTCGTTTGAGGCATTTATACTCTGGGAGGTTTAGTTTTACGCTTTTTGTCTCGTTTTTGTTCATTTCAGTCTATAGCACGTGGAACCAACCCTGGAGCCGAAAGTTGGATGAAAGGGTGGAAAATCGGGTCAAAGGATGGAGGCAGTAGCAGATCACGGTAGAAGTAGTGAGTTCACAGTCAGGGAGACCGTGAACTAGAGCCGCAAACCGTGAACCGCCAGGCGTCCATAGCCATTTTGGTTCTCACTGGACTCAAGTTAGTTCACGGTCTTAAGACCGTGAACCCAAGCCAGAGAGCGTGAACTGAATTAGTGATGCGGTGTGTTTTGGCCCGAGATCACGGTCCCCTCCTTGAGTTCACGGCCATGAACTGGGACCGTGATTTGAGCCCGACATGGGTATAAAAGGGGGCTTGAGAAGAAAGAAAAGAGGAGGAGACCTTGAGTGAGAAATCCTTCTTCCTCAGCATTCTAGAGAGAGAAAGTGACAAGCAAGAAGAGAGAAGAAGCTAGGGTTTCATTCCAAGGCAAGGATTTGAGAAAATCTTCCCCAAAGGAAGATCTCTTCTACACAAGGAAGGATTCAAGCATCTTCATGATGGTTTTTCTTCTTTCTCCCTGTGTTTTCCCCTCTCCTAGCATGGAGTAGTTTCCCTTTTTTCATTTGGGTGTTTGTGAACCCTAACCTCTACCATGTGATTGATTGTATGGAATAATTGTCTATGTTTGGGTGTATTTTAATACAAATTTGGAGGTATTTTCAAGGAAGATTGTGTTGTGTGTTTGTCTATCAATCTATTTGTCATTCTAACCGAGGTAGAGAGAAAACCCCCTTTTGTTAAAGAGGCTTGTAAAAATGGGTTTTCTTAGGCAAATCATGTCTCATATCTAGGTTAATGTAGGCCATCCCTCCTTGTTTGTGTTGGCACCTAGGTTGATTGTGTTTTGGTCGTCCGAATTTCGTTTCGAGAGTGAAGGTTTGGTAGTCCTTAGTCGATTCGGCCAAGAGAGATACCTTTGTAGGTTAATCCAAATTCCTAGGCCTAGGGACTGAGAGATTTATATTCCATCACTAGCTACACTTCACTTACGGTTCTCAATCACCTCCACCATACATTTTCAGTCATTCCGACAAGTCATGGTAGCGAGTTAGAGGGAGCTACACCCGGGTGAATCCTTATCATTTAAGAGTCAAAACCAATTACTTTTACAACCACTTTAATAGTAGATCGTAGTTTCCAATCAAACAACATTTGCTAGATAATGTTTCAAACAATCAAAGTAGGGTTATATGGACCGGCCTAGGTTGATATTTAAACATACTTGCCCTATATTGCACCCAATTAAGGTTTATACTTGGGTCCTAATTGAGAGTTTTATTGTGATATTCGGGACGAGTCAAGGATCATCTGTCATAACAGAGTGATAACATGGGGAGCTCTAATTACTATGTAATTAACCATGAGACCAAAACACACTCTTGTTTAGTAACCTTATGCATGATTCATAACTTATCTTGCTTAATCTCTGTTCATTACTTGAACATGTACTTGACCTGGCCATAACTGGCTCAACATAGGTAAACCAGGAGCCGTATAATTGTACTTCCTCGGGATAAACCCTTGTGAAAAGTCATCTACTGCCCAATTAAAAAGCCCAAAAAAATTCACTATTTGTGGATCACTGTCATCTGTTCCCAACTCCCCTCTGCTTTCTTCAGGAAAAGAAAGACCTCATGCCCAGTTCTCGTGCCACCTCCAACTTGCTCGGCACCGCTGACACTCTCCCCTGTCGGCGAGCCCGCTGTTCCGGACTGAAACGTGAGATATGTAACTTGATTATGTTGTTAGAGTCAATTTCAATCAAATTTTAATATTACATGAATTAAAGCTTCCGTAGGATAAGTTAATATTATATAATAGTTTAATTGAATATGTAACTCGATTCTATTATTAGACATGTAACACCATTCTACAACAGTTATTAAAATACACTGTGTAAAATTTATGACTGATGAATTGGTAGTTATTTTTTATGTATCAACATGTTACATAAGTCTTCCATTCATGTCGCTGCTCCAAACTTGAACGTCCTCTGTGCTGCCGGATGGACCGAGACGCTTCTCTCTTGCCATCTCTCCCAAACGAACCACAACTTCCAGCCGCCGAACTCAATCTTCTCCCGAAATCCCCTATCGTTGCCTACCCAAACAACCTCGCCGTGACGCCACCGCGATAAACTATATATTTCTCCAGAAATCCCCTACCAATTGCTAAATATATAGTTGATATCATTTGTGTTTCAGCCCTCCCACCACCGCATCAGTTCTTTTGTTTCTTTTTACCGATTCTAGCTTTATTATGCTGAGTATCATGTGTAATTCTGGACAGCCTGTATCTATCGAGCTTGGTGGGAAGAGTCCAATTATTTTGTTTGATATAGATCTTGATAAAGGTTACTACCTCCCTGGACATCTAATAATGATTTAGCATCAAACATATGGTCGTTACCATTTTTTCCTTGGCCAAAATATCTATGCTAAAAGACTCATCAGTTCTGATATTTGTAAGCACCTATTTGTGCCTGT